CTGAGGTTTTTATTTTCATACAGATTCTCCCTTAATTTCTCCTAATTTGTTATGAAAATTTGACCCTCAGGGGGCAATTTGTAATTTCTCAAATCCCAGGGGAGAATCTGTATTTTTATTAAATCTCGAAGGAGTGTTTGTAATTTACCCTAATTTTAAATTATGTCATTTATAATAATCAAACTTATAAATGACATAATTTACATGTAATACAAACCCTTTTAAGGAGGTATATCATACCATTACCCCAATTATATATCGGTAAACCAACCACTTTTCATGAAAATCTTGAAAAATATCATTAGTCTCACATTTTTAATATAAATATATTTATTTATTTTAAAATTTTAATTTAAATAACAATTATGCTATTTTTTATCAATAATTTGTTAGTCGTATGAATGAAAAAATAATAATGTTATTATTTTTTTTCTATTAAAATATATACTTTTGCTTTACTAAAAAAAATTATTATAATTATATGAAAATGTTACACTAATTTTCTCATACTTTAAAAAAAGTTAATGTAATTTTCCTTTAAGTTGAGTAGAATTTCACTTTACTCCCTATAATTTCAATTTAAACCTTACAATTTAAATTTAATTTAAATGTGGTCCTTTTATTAGTTGTCATTAGCATTTTAAAAAAAAAAAAAAAAAACATGTGTGAAACTAGAGGGACCATATTAGAATGTGAAGAGGCTATAAAGATTACTAGTGTAATTTATTAATTTTTTCTTTCTTGTACAATATTACTAAATTTTTCAATTGAGTTGCATATATAGACATTTTGGGTCCAAAAGGCTATTGAAAAACTGACAAATGAACTACATTAAAATTTAATTAATAGTATAAGATTTAAATTAAATTGAAACTATGAGAACTAATAAAATTTCTCTTAAATTAAAAATACAAGCTACCATCTAAAATAGGCCAAGTACTATTTTCGTAATTTTCCAACCTTAAGCTATGTACTTATCAATGGGTCAAGTCAAATAGAATAATAAGTTATTTAAGCAAAATTTAAAAATCATAACAACCACAAAATATTGTTCAAATTTAATATATTTATCATTCTAGCTGATTTTAGACAAAATTCAATCGAATAAATTACAAATCCTTAATTTTATATATTGTTTTATAGTGCATGTTCGTTTTATCAAGTTTAAATCTATTTAAAAAAAATTAACAAGTATCAAAATATATTTAATTTGATCTTATTTACATAATGAGCCACTCACAATTGCTTAATTCATTTTACGACCCTAACTTCAAGCCTTAAAGTTGGGTGAAAAAAAAGAAATAAAATAATAAACAACGAATAAACGAGAAGAATGTGAGGTTTAAACTGAAATTATACCAGCACAATTGGTTGAAGCCAGCAATGGCAAGAAATCAGAGGTTCAACAATTAAGGGTAAAACTATCAAGGTGTCGGTGTGATATAGAATTAAGCAACCACGTAATATAGAAAGAATATCATAAGAATATAATAATTAGTAAGAGCAATTTGTGGCCCAGTAGTTTAATTTTTTATATTTATCGAGTCAATTAGTAATTCTAAAGGTGGCTCAACTATTAAGTGTTACCACGACGATTTGAAAAGTTGAAAGTTTTAATTTTTCAAAGACTTAACCCTAATTTGACTTAAGAATTAAATAAGTTTTAAAATATGTTCGAGTTTAATTTATTTACGTAATAAGCTAATTTCAAATGAATTTTTAATAAATCGAGCTTGACTAAAGCTTTTAACAGCCGAATACAGATCAAGCGTCAATAGTATAGTTTTTTTTATGTATCAAGCAGTCATTTATTCAAATTTAACTTAAAAAATTAATAATTTTTAAAATGTACAAGCTTGACTTGCTTACATAATAAATCAATCTCGAACGATCTTTTAATAAGCCATCAATTTATTTTACAACTCTACCAATAGTTATAAATTTTAAACACCACATGAATTTGCTCTAAAAATATTGAATAATTTCTCATCCATAAGCCGCATGCAAAATAGTAACCAAAATCAAGAGGATAAATGACACTTGATGCTAATCTCTCTTTTTGATCCCTTAATGTTTTTTATGACAATCAACCCCTCATAGTATCGCCATCAAACTAGTTATCTTCATATTTTAACTAACATTGTAAGTAATCACTAAGACCAAGTTTGACATACACAAAATAATTCATCTTTTTATTTTTTTTCATCATATCACATCTCTACTTTTTTATACATCTTTTCGTAAAAACACAAAAAGTACACTTATTTAGGTCATCCCAAACAACCCCTAAATTTTACCTCAATCAAACTAGTTATCAAGTTAGTCATTTTAATTTTGATGATTTGACTCAACAAATGTAATTAGTGTTTTCACCTAGTCAAATATTTAAAAAAAATATTATTTCTCATATTTTAAAATTATTTGTGTATAAGTTTATAAAAAATATTCTAAATTAAAATAAATAAAAATACTATTTTAATAATATAGAAAAAGAATAGAGAGCTTGTTGGACAAGGAGGATCCCGTTCAGTCCTGATTTTGGACTGAAGGGTGCTGTTTGGGCCCATGGAGCCTATTACGACCCCATATCAATAATCTAAATCGTTTATTTTGTCAGGCACTTCACATATTTTATTCATAAAAAAAATAAATTAATTAATTAAATCGATCCAATAATTGTAACTTATTCAATTTTTCACAAAAAATAATAATAATAATAATCAACTTACTTGGTTTCATTTTTCTAAAAACACTTTTTAGAAAATTATACTTTCTTATTTTTCGTATTTTTTTGTTTTTATTGAATTTTTTTAATATTTTAAATAATTTTTTTACTTTTTAGACACACCCAACATAAATATACTTAAAAAGTAAAAAAATATAAAAAAAATCTTTTAAAAATTCACTAAATACCAAAAATACATAAAAAAAAATACAAGAATTCAATATATTTTTTGTATTTCTATGTATTTATTAATTTTTAAAAAATATTTTTTCACAATTTTTTTACTTTTTAAATACATTTAAGTGATGTGCGTCTAAAAAAAAATAAAAAAAAAATGTTTAAAATTTTAAAAATATTCACTAAAAACAAAAAAACATGAAAAATAAAAAAACTCAATTTTCAAAAAACTTAATCTAGAAAACTCAAACCAAACACACAGAATTGTGTTTTTTAAAATAAATCATACATTTTTTAGTGACAAACATAATAAATTAAACAAGTTAAACGATTTAATTTTTTTTGTAGATAAAATACACAGAATACCCAACAAAGTGAACGATTAAGATTATCGAAACGGGACTTATAAAGAGTCTCGCGGGTCCAAACAATACCTCCTAGTCCAAATTATACTAGAGGGAATCCTCTTATTTAAAAAGGTATACAGTCAAACTAGAAAAAATAATTTTTAAGTCAATATAACAAAATTTTAATTAATTTGATAGAGATGCTCTTACACTTCTACTTTTAGGGAAATGACAATGTCACCCTTTTATTATGTCTCCGTTCAATATGATAACAAAATCTTAATATGTGAGCTTCACATGACGTTTTTAACGATAAACATGAAATTTTGAAATGTTTAGGATAAGTATGGAATTTTGATCAATCATATGACACCCCTTCACTGTTTTCCTCAGTCCTTCCCTCTCTACACTCCTCCCATCTCTATTGCCCTCTCTGCACCACCATAACCTCGATATCCATCACAACCTTTAACTTATCAAAACGCCACCACTACCACAACTGTCAGTGACCATTCACTATAGAGCAGGAACCCCCAAAACCCAATCTTAAGCTAACCCAATCTGGTTCAGTCCGTCTAGGATCCAATCCCTACAGGGTTCATCCATTTGTCGCCATTTCATGGATGATAGTGGTTCAATTTGGGTAAGAATGGGTGGTAGCAGTTCGATTTGGGTGATAATGAGAGGTGGTGGTTCGAAAGGGTGACAAGAAAGGGTGACATCAACATTTGACCACTTTCTCAGATGACTTTTTCTATCAAGCAACAAACATAAGGTTCATTGCATTTCAATTAGATACTGAAAGAATAATTATACTATTGACGAAATCTCCCCTAGAGCAAATCTAACACAAAAAAATACTCGCACTATACATATAATTTGAAATTGCAAAAGAAAAAAAAAATCCAGTCCCATTGACTTCAGATTTCCCCATAAACATAAACCCAACAAAAAAGTCATTGACATTTGACCAAAAGAAGATTTGACTGTTGCAATTAAAAATGTGGGACCAAATTGAAATTGAAATTTAATGCAAAGTGCGATTTATCTTTTAAAAATTTCCCATCTCTTATCAATCTTGAATCAACAAAATTTTCTTCAACATATAAAAAAAGATTTTTTTATTTTTTTATTTATAGAATACAAAACAAATTTTTTCTTAGTATATTTTGGCAGCAGTTTCAATGAAAGAAATAAAAAGAGAGAAAAAAATCCAACTTTTAAAAGAAGAAGTTTGCCCCCAAATTATATTCAAGCACACCTCACCCACAAACAAGTTGAAACTTGTTCAACTTGATTAAGTGGTGGTGGTGACTGGTGTTCATTTCCTTTCACAATATCATATTATAAAAGGGTTTTGATTTCTATTTAAAGAACATACCAAACTGTTGCAGATACCCTCCATCCATCCAGGATAGGACGTTGAACAATATTTGCCATATCCCCCTGCAAACAATGTAACATCTTTAGAAGGCACATCAACATCTAACATTAATAACTAATGAAGAATACAGAATAAAAGGAGCAATTTTGAAACAAGTACCTGCAATACTCAAGGGAAGACGGGGAACAAAAATAGGCAGTAGACAACTTGCAGTATAAATTTTTTCTTATAAGGCTTATATTTCACAAAGCAAAAGGACAGTGGCCTTTAGATCCCTATTCCAGGAACCTGAAGGACTGTTGCTCCCATCTTGAAAAAGAAATTCACATATAACAGTTGAAGCACACACAAAACTTTAATATCGAACTGAGATAAAGCAGCAAGCATAGATTAGATGATAGACCACACTATTTCAAATAAGAAAGGCATTTCAAAAACTCATAGAAAATAAATTGTCTCAATGTGTACTTTCAGGAGATTGATGTATCCGACTTAAATTTACTGACCCAGACTCAATTGACTCCGCAATCACTGCCTCACATGCCTCAGTAGACACATCAGAAAAAAGCAAGGAAGCACACTTATTAGCATCATGAAACTTCTGTCCCTCTTTAATAGTGGCAAAACAGTTGCCTTTAGAGTCGCTAGCCCTGTTCACCTCATCAACCTTACCAGGTGAATGGGTATCAGATGTTTCTACATTTTGTGGAGATGAAGATTTGACTTCCACAATATAATCAAGTGTCTCCTGCTTTGGAACCGGATTCAACTCCATTTTCACCTTATTTAAAGCTGCAATTGACCCCTCTGGTTTCTCCAGAGCATCAGCCAGATCAGGTTTATTTATCTTCTCATTGGTAATTGCAGAAGACACTTCCATTTTCACCTTGGTTAAAGCTGGAGCTGCAACTTCTGCTTCTTGCTGACCACAAGCTGGTACCAATTCCCCCAGTTTATCTTCATTTGAACCTGCCACTTCCAGATCCAATGCTGGAGCAGCCTCAAGGTTCTCGACATTGGAAAATGGAAGTTTATCCCCATTTATGGTCCTGGCTTCTTCCCTCAGCTTCTTGTACAGGGACATGGCTTTCTGCAAGTTCAACCATGGAAACATCCTAACCATTACTTTATTCGAATTTGAGTACTAAAAATAAAATTTTATCTTTTATAACATGAAAAATAAAAATTTCACAGAATAAAATATAAATATGAGCACTGCCATACAAACAGAATTATTTCAATACAGAATACAACTATTGCTACCTATATTTTCAAAAATGCAATTGCAATATCATTCTATATTGGAATTCTTGTTAATAAAGCATTTTATCAAAAATAAACACTATCAACATATACATTACCTGCAAAACAGAATCATTGATGGTAGGAAAAAGTAAAGCACTTGAAGTTTTATTAGAAATCTTCACCGTGGCATCTATAGCCTCCTGTCACATCAAAATAAAGAACCTCATTACAACTAGACAACTAACAATGAAGAGAAATGAAAGAAACTTACAAATGTAATCATTTTTACCTCCACAAGTAAAAGCTTGGAATCAGCCTCTTCAGTATTCAAGTTCTGTTTCATACCCATCAAATCAGTGTACTGGCTATACAACTCAGGTTGAGTAAGATCCGGTGAAATGTCAACCATGGAAAGATAAACATGTGAAAGACATGCACCATCCTTTCTGGAAAGGTTGGGTATCTCCTCAGGAATAGTTTTGGGAGCTGCTTTAAGAGTATTCCTTTCAAGAGCATCACTTGACTGATCAATGTCAACACTCTCCACCTGAACACTAGGTTGTTTTTTATCATTCTGAGCTTCCAGACCTGTTTGCTCTGTCCAAACATCATCTGCTGGTCCATGAGCTGAATAACCGTCTTTCTGTGGTGCAGATGGCAGCTCAGTGCTCACACCAATGTTTTGCCCCTTCCAAATGTCTCCTCTTGTCTCCCACAACCGACTACCAGTCAGTCTTCTATGATGGTCCCAATCAAGTCTCCCATAAATGTGAGATTCATCTCCAAAAACAGTATTGTTTGCATCCCATCCATGGATAGGAGGGCAGGACTCATCCACTAGATTCCGCCAACCAAGAGAACGCCCATGGCTAGAAAATCTGTCACCATCAGGGACATGGTACGGAGCCCCAGATTGGTTTAATTCCATTGAAGGTCTAATGCTGAACATTGGAGGAGGAGGAAACTGCTGCATAACAGGATGAAAACCAACAGGAGGCGGACCATGTTGGAAAGGTATGAAGCCATTTGCCACGGGGGAAGGCCAGTTTGGGACCCCTCTCCATGGACTTCCTTGTGCTCTTCCCATGTTGGGATCACCAACCCTCCTATGACGGTTGTTAGACTTGCCTCTATTGTCATCTTCCAAAGAGCCCAAAGCAAGAGGGCTGTCAGGCCCCATCCTGTAGGGGGGTGGAGGTAAAAGGGACCTGGAATTGCTAGACAAATGACCAGTTCTACTAAAAGGTGAAGACTCAGACAAATTGTCTCCATCTGCTTGAGAAATCTCATCTGCTCGAAGTGTCTCCATAGGCAAGTCACGACTTCCTCTGCCTTCCCTACAGGAATAGTCCTTTACATCTTTCGAACCACCACTCCTCTGCCCCAAGTCCTCAATATCAAGACTTCGCCGAACATCAGATCTATTCAAGTGTCTGCGGTCTGCACTCGTTGATGATGGGGATTTATCCACCATTTGCAATGGTGAAGAGCGCTTATCTTCCTTCAGGCGCCTTTCAGCGAAGACCTCACCCAAATGACTGTTATCCTTTTGAAGGCGTGGTTTCTCAATCGACCGAGACTGTGAAGCCTTCTCTGTTACTACAGCATACTCTTTGCTAGTGGTTATACCATGCATAACTCTCTCATCATGCACATAGTCCCTATATTTTGATTCTTCTTGCTTTGAAACCCTGCGAGACAATAACAAAAAAAATTGAAAAATGAAATGATTGTTGGGCAAAATTTAGAGCTAAGATCAATTGGAAGTATGTTCCCATTGGACAAATTTATATTAAATCAGAGCATAGATAAGAGAAAATCACCACAACAAAGTTACTCGTACATCACTTTTTTGCTTACTGATCCAGGCCACCCCTTCCATCCAGAGAAGGTTAGTTCATCCCTATGCTCTTAAATGACACTTTTGAAGTTAAAGCCACTACCCCCCAGACATCTTTCAATACTAGCCTTCCCAACATCATCCAAATCAGCCAATGCCAGTAGCTTAATCGTGTTTGATGATTGTTTATTAAAAATCCATTTGACATAGATGCCTTGAACATTAGAAAAATCTCCCATCCACAAAGCAGAATACAAGTTGCAACAAGGTCACTCATTGACCAAGGATGACAGTCAGGCAATTTACACAAATTATGTAAAAAACTACTTCCACCAAATCAGAAAGCAAAAGGAAATGAAATACAATCACAAGTGTTTTTTCCTGGAAACAATCGTCATATAGTGCCACACAGCCATCATTAACTGCCAGCCTACAAGTTATGACATACATTCCAAACAGGATCAGACTGAATCCAGTCATATGGGAGTGCCAGACAGTGAGAAAATACCGAAAGTGCTACTACATGACATTTTAGGTGTTCTTCCTAGTCTCACATATTCTCAATAAACCATTCTCGCAAGTTTCACAGAAAAAATTACCATTCAAGGACTTATTTTCACTTTCTCCACAAAACTCTCATGCAAACCACATGGGGCAGTGACAGTATTTAATAAATAATGTTAACACATTCTAATATCACCAAAGGCTTTCATATAACATTCAAAAAATTTCAAAAATGCAATATTTGATCAAGTGACAAGTTTTACAATAGACTTCCCAATGTATAACATTATTAGGTATACCAATTTATTTTTAAAAAGTTCAATATGTTCAAGTAACAATACATTCATCTACAAGCTATCCTTCAATTTCACACTATTAATCCATTTAAAATCATCCAAAAAGGATAACTTCCGAAAAATATAGGATTATATGCCTCAACTTTTCAAACCATTCTGGTGCATCCCAACATAGAAACAACAAATGAAATGAGACAGAGGGAGTATTTATTGCAAGAAACTCTCTAGTAAGAGATCTTAACCATCGCATAATGTTTCCTGCTATCAGCTACCATCTCCATTTTCCAAACCAGTAAATTTTGGTAACACTAGAAAACGAGCAAGTGTCTGATACCAATACAAAGTATCCAAAGCAGATTCTATATTGTGTTTGGTTATTGTTCGCCGGTCTTATTCAAACTGGCAGTACATTCATTACCAACCTCTATGTAAGAAAATTGACAAGATGTCAATGCCCAGCATATGAAACTAGTTGGCCAGCAGTGTTTCGTTCCACCAGGAGAGGAGAGGAGAAGTAGTGATCATAATAAAACATATCATTACCTTCTTTCTTCCTTTTTTTTAAGATTTAAAAAATACTAGAATACAAGTACCACTTATACCACATATTAAACAGCATCTGGTACAAAATTGAACTGATAACAAATACACCTTGATTCTGTTAAGAAATAATTGATAAACAAAAATACCTGTAATGATCTTTTGCAGCATGGGAATTAGAGCTGGGGGAACTCCTCCGTCTGCTATGGATTGGAGTGATTTCCACATCAGCATTGCGTGAGTTAGACCTTCCTTTATCACTAACCGATTCTACTCTAGCACTGCTCATATATTTCTTTTCTGCGGCTGAATGTTGCTCTTTGGTACTCAGGGATCTCATATCACCATCGTCCTCTTTATCACTGGTTCTTCTCCTTCCTTTATCATTTTGGTTTATGGTACTCCTATCATCAAAAATTGGACTACCATCACGATTATTTGATTTCCTGTGATGTTTTGTAGCATTACTTTCATCCCTCAAACGCTTGATATCAGACTTATCACTCGTGTGATCTCTTGAGGACTGTTTATCCCGGTACTTAACATCCCGGAGCCTCTTATCTTTGTCATTATCATCTCTTTGTTTACCCTCCCTGTGGCCATATTCCAGATTCCGATCATCCCTGTGTCTATCATCTCTGTCCCCATCTTCACGGTACTTGTCACCCCTGTGTCTATAATCTCTATCGCCATCTTCATGAAACTTATCGTCCCTATGTCTAGTATCTCTGTCACCATCTTCTAGGTACTTATCATCTCTGTGTCTATTATCTCTGTCACCATCTTCACGGTACTTATCATCCCTCCGTCTATTATCTCTATCACCATCTTCACGGTACTTATCATCCTTGTGCCTACTATCTCTCTCACCATCTTCACGGTATTTATTGTCCCTGTGTCTGTTATCTCTGTCACCATCTTCCCGATACTTAACATCCCTGTGTCTGCTATCTCTCTCACCATCTTCTTGGTACTTATCATCCCCGTGTCTGTTATCCCTATCACCATCTTCACGGTGCTTATCTCCATACCTTCCATCCTTATGCTTCTCTTCCTTGTACCTTACATCCATGGCATGCTCACCCCTCAATGATAGTTGTCTATCTTCACTTTCTTTTGTTTTATCTTGATATTTTTCCTTATCACTAGAGCCATCTCTCCTCTTCCTTATCCGTTTATCAAGTTCCTTCTCTAACTCATGATTTCGTACCTCATCTTGCATAGACAACTCTGATAAAATGAACAAAAGAAGATAAGACTAATCAATGAGAGTAAAGCTGGAAGCATAGACAACTCTGACAAAATGAACAAAAGAAGATAAGACTAATCAATGAGAGTAAAACTGAAATCCAGCAAAAGAAAAGGACAACCAGAATAGCAACATCTTCTAATTTTAAACCAAAAAATAATAAAATCATCATAAATTTTAGAGCCAAAGATCTTGCAGTAGTCATATTTGTAACACAACAGCACAATACGGTGCACACATTAAATCTGTCAGCTCACATGTTTAAGAATTGTCAAACTCGAGAAAGTAGGTGACTGGAAGGATGTATCAAGACCAGAAACATTCATTCATCATAATTGAATCAGAAAAGAAGTGATGTAGTGAGTTTAGACTATACTACAGAGTTAAAAGTTGTGCTACCAATGGAATAAAACAAGGATAGAGAGCTACTATAGCTGTACCACCTAATGTACAAATGTAGAGAACCACTGCATCAAGTTAACAGGAAAGCCATCAATTGAGTAGAGCCTCGATCAACACACTAACTCATAAGCTTAACATCAGATGATCTACCAAACATAAATAACTAAATTAGCAATCCCACTCATTATAAAGTGACTTATGACACAATTAAGATAGTGTTCAATGAAAACGAAGAAGAGGAATCCTAAGGTGGATCAATTCTGAAAGCAAAATAAGTATCATTCACAAAAAACCAAAAAAAGAAAAAAAGAGAAAGAAAGAAAATAAAAAAATAAACGAATAAAAAATGGTTCTTGTAAAATCCTTTAAGAGTAAAGAATGAATCAAGGAGAATAGAAAAGGTAAAACTTGTATTATCAACAAGCACTTAAATGTCAATGTAAACAGTTAAATGCACTCAAGCTTTTTCATACTTTACTTCCTTCTTTATTCATTTAATTAATTGTATTTTGAACTGCATTTTGACTTCCCACTCTAAATCACAACAGCTTGAACCAACTTACTACCAGAAGGTCCTTGATTGGTTACTATAAACTCCCCTCAATTGGAAATGCGGTTGTTTTTATTGAAAGGTAAGCTTTTTTTTCCTAGTAAATGGTCTTCCTCTTAGCTGTAGTCTTTGCAATCTCCTCGGTCATTTGGTTGGAAAGGAATGGGCGTATCTTCGAAGGAAGAACTCGGGATATAGATTATTTATGGGATAGAGTGAGATATTTGGCGTCTTTTTGGGCCTCGGTGAGTTCTGTGTTCCGAGGGATTTCTCTTTTTTTGATTGCTTCAGATTGGATGTCAGTTTGTTTTGTATAGTTGTAGCTGTTTGTCTTTTTGTCTTTTGATTTGGTTTTCTTTTTGGTTGTCTTATTCTCTCTTCTTTCTTGTTGAGGATGCCTTATCCTCTCTTCTTTTTGGCCATGAGCCTTAATAAAATTTATCTTTTCTGTTGCTGATAAAAAAAAAAATGGTCTTCCTCTTAGCACCAACAAATCATCAATCCATACAATACAACTATATTAGCCCATAAACTCCGTCACCTATTTTAGTTTGATTCTTCAATTTCATAACACTTGGCAAAATTGTGACAGAAAAATAAGTGTAGATACCAGGTAAAATAGTTTTAAACAAATAAAACTTACATAAAATGGAAAGGCTACCATATGCAAAGCAACACACATATTGCTGATGTTCACACTCTAGCATCATATATTGCACTGCACAAAACATTACTAACGTTGTATTTGATTAGGGGATTTGTGAAGGAATTTGACAAAGAAAAGGGAAACGGTATGTGAAACTAGGTGAAATGTAGATATATTTTATTCATATTTCACCTACCTTTTTCCTTTTCTTTTCCAAATCATTTCCCAAATCATTTCCCAAATCTCTCAACAAAACACAGCAAGGAAAATGTTTTGTAGTATCATAAAACAAATTAACATTCCTCAAATGACATGGTTTATCCCTTAGCACATACATAATGAAGGTCACAGGAGTATTCTGTTCACAAATTTCTGTAACCAAAGAAACAATATTACAGCTTACCCTTAATAGATACCTCAGCCCGATAGTTCTACAAATATTCACTAGCAAACTTAACAAACAAAAGAAAATTAAACATACCTAAAATCCCACACCCCAAATGTAGATAACCAACCTTCAACTGCATGTATCAGTTGAAAATTTAATAACTGACAAGTATCTTTACCAAGCTGAAAATATCTATATATGTACATACGATTTCCCTCTCTGTATTAGTGTGTAGTAAAGATTAAATCATGCTGCATACTTCTAAGCATATCTTCACACAAACTCACAAGGTACTATTGTTGACTTCCTCATTGACTTGTTACATTTAAAAGCAAACACAGGTCTTAATCTCAGCAATTTCCAAATCAAAGAACATGCAGAGCAATCCCATTGCTATATTTTCTTTCTGGGCTATTTACAATATCAATTATGCATGATTATAGATTTTTTCTTTATATAGTGAAAAATTGAACAAACAAAACAACACCAACAACACCACCATCAATCCAAATCATCAATCGACTAAAAACACAACAATTGGTTACCTTACCCGTATTTTCTCTACCACGTTTGCCTTGTCGCTCTTCACCATCGACAGTTACCTCTGTTTCATGAATCTTCTTCTCCAACACACGTTCCTTTTCCTTTGAATCCTTATCTTTTCGCCCCAAATCTTTCTCAGACTTCCGCTTCGACTCAACTTTGCTGCTACTCTTACTCTCCTCTTTCTCTCCCACTAAACCCACGCTCTCCTCTTTCTTCTCACCACCACCACCATCGTGCTTTCTACTACTTTTACTCTTCGAATCAACCAAAGCTTTCGACTTTGAAGTCTTATCCCCGTCGATCGTTGAACTTTCCACTTTCATCTCATCCGCACAACTATTCCACCTATCCAAATCGGCCTTCTCTTTCCGACGCTTCGAACCGACATAATCTTCCGAAGCATCACCATTAGCGTGACCAGACAGATCTTTACGCTTCTCGCTCGAGACCGAATCCCTACAAACCCTAACTGAACCTTCCTCTTTGCCGTTCCGTTCCTTCATCGTCACATCCGATTCCGAGTGCTCTCGAGCGTCCCTGGAACTGTGTTTGCTCTGTTTGTGAGATTTGTGGCGTGAACTCCGTGTCATAACTGTGAAATAGCAGGAATAGAACGAACCAAAAAACGATAATTCAAAACCCTAGTTCTTCAAGCTCGCCTCCCAAACAAGAATAATCATGAAATGAATGTAAATGGTGGAATAAAGCACCGGAATCTGAGAATTCAGGCCGATTAAGTGACCGGAAATATGAGGGCTCCGATAGATCGGTGGATTGCGGCTAGATCGGGAACGACTAATGTTGCTAGTGCGGTTGACCCTAGACAGAGGAGAGAGAGAGAGAGAGAGCCAGCGAGAAGGGAAGCGAAGCGACCCCTTGCCTTGCGCCTGTTTGGTAAAACTTAAAATCAACTTATTTCAGTTTTTGACTTAGGCCTTGTTTGCCAATAGGCTAGTTTAGTTAAAAAGTCAAAAAATTATTAAAAAAATTAAAAAATTAACAATTCATATAAAAAAGTCAAATATTCTCTTTTCTCTCTACTTTTTGCACATCTTTTTATAAAAAATCAAAAAGTCATCCCAAACATACTAATTTTTTTAACTCATATTTTAGTCTAGTCAAAAAATTACTAAATTAGCCTGTTCCCAAACGAGATCTTAATTTAAGCTATTTGGTTACGCTTGGTACAACTTAATTGATTAAATTATAGCTTTTTCAAAGCTATTTTCAGCTCATTTACGAAGTTGCTCGGAGCATGCTTATGGACTTATAGCTCAAGCGCATAGCTGTTCATGGGTCATGAAATGACTAAAATGTCCCTCCAAAATTTCAACAATTACAGAAGTGCCACTATATAAACCCTCTTGTTGCCCTAGCCCGCTCCTCTCCTCGCTCCTCTTCTCATTTCCTCTCTTGGCGACACTGAAGACGATCTTCCACAACAGCCGAGTGAGCTCCTCCACATCTCCAACACAGCCAATCGAACTCCTCAACATCTCCAAGATCAGTTGATCGAACTCCTTTCGTCCTTGTTTCCGTTGATCTGCACCAAAAAGGTAAGAGTTCATGCCTTTTTGTTTGTGATATATATCTATCTTCTATCTATCTATCTATTTATCTTCTATATCTATCTATCTATCTATCTATCTATCTATCTATCTATACTATTATAAAGTGAACACCTTCTTATGCTGTCCTGAAACTTTGTTTCTTATGTTGCCACGTGTCCACTTTTTTATTTAAAATTAAAAAAAAATAAATTAGATAGATGAGTGGAGGGGGCTTGAACCTTAAACTTATATCAAATGAATAAGACTCTTATTACTTGACTAGCACACAATATATAATAAATTTTTTATTTTATTTTTATTTATTTGAATAGCACACGCATCGCGTGTGGAAACCGCTAATATATATATATATATACACACATCGAGTTAGGGTTTACAGACAGAAACCAAATCACACTCCATTCCTCTCTTCGCTTTCTTCTTCTTCTTCTCCGATTTACATAATCTTCAGTGCATCTATTGAGTTAATTAATAATTATAATCTTCAGTGCATCTATTGGGATGATTGAACTTAAGATTGATAGTTTGCATGTGTCAATTCATTTAATTAGCAATAGTTTGATCTAGTGGGTTTATTAATAATTATTAATATAAAAGTATTGATCTATTCCCCTGTGGAATCTTTTGTTCCAGAATGAAAATCAAAGATGTTACATGTTGGTTGTAATTCTTAAAACAAAATTTAAATCTCACATATTGAGACGGAAAAAAGGGAAAAACAAAAAGAATTTTTTGGGCATCTTACCTAGAATTCCTTAAGTTTCATCTCATAAAGTTTTTCACTTTCTCTCAAATTCTTACAGCATTATGTATTTAAAAGATTAATGCTGGACTACTACTTTTAAGAGTAAATTGCAATAAAAAAAAACTGTCAAGACTGCTCTAGAACTAGAGTTTGTAATATAATTGTACCTCACAACTTGCCTAACAATCCAGAAATCACAAAATTAATTATTTTTTGATATACCAGAAATAAAAATAAAAATAAAAATATCATTAATGGTACAAACATAAGAAAGCATAAGTAAAACTATACTAATAATATTTTAGCTTAAAATTGCTGTAAAATTGAAATTGATCCAAAACAGATTATGCAACAAAACCTCTGTTATGCCCATAAATAATTTCAATCTGTCTCCTTTTGGTTCTCATTCTTTGCATCAGGTTTTTTCTGCATGAGTTGTTGATTATAATCTGGTTTTATGATCACTTGGCTAATTCGAGAAGACTATGTGACACATACAAGATGGTTATAATAAAAATGAAATTACAAAACACATTAAAGGTTAATTTTCTTTATTTTTTATTGTTATCTTTAGTGAACTTTATTAAAATTTGGTGTATTTTTGTTTAATTTTTATTTTTAAGACATTCTAATCTAGAAGGATCTAAAATTAAACAATATCAAAAGAAATTTAAAAATTCATAAATAAGTCATTTAACCATAACTAAAGTAACAAATTTGATCTCTCCAACAATTACAAATTTGAAGAAATTCATATTGTGGCTCCAAACCCTCTCCATTTATATACACGATGAATCTTATATTTACACATGACATATGTTTGTTGGATTCCCAGAATGAAATGGTATTGGTCACTGATTCAATGAAATGGTATTGGTCACTTCAAATTGGTGTACGAACAAATGGGTGCAAACAAATTATCATTATGTTATAAACATTTTATTCAATCAATACTTGGTAGGTGCAATGTATTTACAATTAGCTTCCCAATGAGGATTTGGATTCAATTTTTAGATTCATTTATGGGTTTCATTTTAGATTCATTTATTCAGTATCTCTTTTGGTATCAATCATGCTGTTGAATTTTTTCTACTTCTCTTATTTGACCCAGTGCCGTGCAGTAATTCTCATTAAAAAGTTATTTATGTTTGAATTCAGTAAAGAATTCAATCACAACACGAGAATAAGATGATAAGCTTTATTCGCATAGAGGATTAATGATGGCACATTTTTGATCCACCTAAATGCTAAAATGTTTAAATGTATCTTGAGTTCAAAATTGTGATTTTTAGAAGCAAACTTCAATTGTTCTGTGTACTATTTAATCCACCTGCAATGCTAAAATGGGTCAAATAGTCATATTCATCTCTAATGGCCAACTTTTTAAAGAGAACTCAATACATTATGTCCATTCTTTCTAAAATATTTCTGAAGATATTGAGATCTTGACTACTTGTGCTTGGGAATTCCTGTATATCAGTTAGATGATTTTTATTAGTCTGGAAATTCAACCTTGATGTTTGAGTGTTCAAATGGTCCTGATCAGTTTGGCACACATTTGCATTTAAGGAATAATTGGGATCTAGAAAGTGTTTATGCAAAATACTCAATCCTGTATGCATGCTTGTGTTAAGCTCTGAGTATGAACTATAAAGAATGGATTTTATGTAAATCACTCAAGTTGAATATGTTTGTTTTTGTGAGTACATGGCAGTGTCAAGTCATATTGAGGTTTCCTATGTATTCTTTTGTTATCATGACAAGAGTAAGAAAGTGAGCATATGGAATTTATCTCTAAAAGTTTTTCATTTTCTTTGAAGTGTATTTATATCTTGTGTATTTCTCCTTCGCAGAACGGCCTGGACACAAAGGTGGAGAAGTCAAGGAAGCAATTGAAGGAAAGGAAGAACAGGACCAAGAAGATTCGTGGTGTAAAGAAGGTAAGGAAATTGCTTATCTTGGCCTCTGGGTACACGTACACTGGTCAATCTCTCTTTCTCTCTCATTGTTACACAATGTGCAGACCAAGGCTGGAGATGCTGCAAAGGCTGGGAAGAAGGAATGAGATGTTGTGGATTTTGTGGTTATTGCATGCCGGAAGCAAAAGCGAAGAATGGTCTTACGCAGCAGCTTTCTTCATATAGTTATTCTGTTATTTTTGAATTTTGGTTCAGTTTTCTTGCTGCTTAATTAAAACTTTGGCATGTATGAATCTCTTTCAATCAATTTTACTACTAAGAAATTTTGTTCCTACCGGAATTCAGTCTAATTCTATGTATTACAATCATGTTGTACATCTTTTGAGGTCTGAAGTTAAATGGGGCCTTTTATGTTGGCAATCTGCATTACTATTAAAGCCATATTTGGAGGAGCTGCAAACCTGCACGTTTGAAAAAACTGGCTAATGGTGTATTGTTGTCCTTGACATGAAGCATTTTTCATCTAAAGCTAGCCAATGGTGTATCCTTTTTGGAATCTGATGAACACTCTTATCTCGCTTGATATCCTTTTTGCTTCATGATTATTAATATTAATTGATACTAAAAATGAAAATAATAATAATAATAATTAATCCATTAATTGACACTAATAATAATAATTTTACTAAGAATAATAATAATATGAAAAATAATAATAATAATAATAATAATTGATGGACAATTGATACTAATTTTAATAATTGATGAACAAATTAATAATAATAATAATTGATACTAATTTTAATAATTGATGAGCAATTGATAATTTTTATACTAAAATCACAATTAATAATAATAATAAAGAAAAGAAATACAAATATAAATAATAAAAATGAATATATGAAAATAATATGTAATGAAATCACAACATTAATATAAATTAGAACATGAATATTAATCTTAATGAATTAATAAATCAAAAAAAATTAACAAAGAAAGAAGAGAAGAAAAAAAAATTTAAAAAAAGAAAAGAAAATAAGGTGAAAAAGAAAAGAAAAGAAAATAAAATGAAAAAGAAAAAGAAAAAGATGTATTATAAATGAAATCACAAATTTTATATTTTATAAGGGCAAAAATGACAATTATATAGCAAAAAGCTATTTTACAGCTTATTTACCAAACACTACTTTGCTGCTTAAATCCATAATCTCACCGCTGTACCAAACGGATTATCAACTTATGTTCACAGCTATAAGTTTTTTATATTTTAACTCTCGTAAATAAAATTTTATATATAAATTTAAGAGTTTTATTTTAAATGTTCATTTGCAAATATATAGTATAGATAGATTAAAATTGTTATATTGACAATTAATAATTAAAATTACGTTTTGTTATAAAAAAAATGACATAGTTATAATACTTCATTATTTTAGAATAAAAATATATGAATTTTAAAAAATTATCATATTGGTTTTTGAAAGAAAAAATAATTAAAGAAATTTTAAAAACTTAATGAGTAAGAAAGAATCATTGTAACATATAAAACTACTAAAATTACGGTTAAACCAGCAAATCATTCAAATAAAAAACGGTTTAATTTAATTAGTTAGGTCAAAAGACCAACCAGCTTACACAAAAATTAATTAATTAAAACTTTTAAACTTTATTTTATTAAAATTTAAACTGTCACTAAATATGAAAAACAATCTATTAATTTAAATTTAAAATTGACAAAATATAAATTTAAAATTATAATAATCTATCTCATAATTTATAATATTTAAATACAAATTAAAATTCTCATAATTTTTGTATTAAGGAACAGTAAGAGTGACATTGAAACATGCACAATACTATAATTATCATAATTGTCTCATAATTAATTAATAATTAATTAATAATTACTAAAGTTTTAATTAATTATTTTAAAATTATCATTTTTATTAATTAATTAATTATAATTATCTCATAATTAGTTAATTAAAACTTTTAAAATTTAAACTATATTAAATTGAAATATACACAACACTACAATATTAAATGGGATGGGAATATAAGATTCACTTTATATAAGTAAAATAACTCATCTTTTTTTCTTTATTTTTCTGATGTGGGATTATCAAATAAAAGCTAACCAATGGAGATTTTCTTAATTATTTAAAACTAAGAAAATCAAGAAAATTAATATGAGATATTGAGGCTTTGTTTGGTAGAGCTTTTGAAGTTTAATTATACCTCTTAGTTTGAGTGTATTGTTTGGTTACAACTTTAGAAAATTAATTCCACACCCACTTTTCAATATTATATGTCACATCACTCAATTCAAACTCTTTTTAAAACTAATAACCAAACAAATTTTCTACACTCAAATTATAATTCTAAAACTCACAAACTCAAAATGCAACTCTATTCTTAAATCATAATTTTAAAGTTCTACCAAACGCAACTTGAAACTCTGATTTAGCCTAATCGGCTAAGTCATAATTAATTAATTAAAACTTTTAAAATTTAAACTATATTTAAATTAAAATATACACAACATTACAATATTAAACGGGATGGGAGTATAAGATTCATTTTATATGAGTAAAACAACTCTATTTTTTCCCCCTTATTTTCCCGATGTGGGATTATCAAATAAAAACTAGCCAATGAAGATTTTCTTAATTGTTTAAAATTAAGAAAATTAGTATGAGATATTGAGACTCTCATAAGACTCCTCACTAAATAGGATGAGAGTATAAGATTCTCTTTATATGAGTAAAATAACTCATTTTTTTTTTGTTCTTTTTCCAATGTGGGATTATCAAATAAAAGCTACCAATGGAATTTTTTTTAATTGTTTAAAATTAAAAAATTAAAAAAATTAGAATGACACTTTGGAGCTCTCACAAGCCTTCTCACTAGAAAGCCCCTTTTCCTCATATAATAAGATAGAAGATAGATAAGGAAAAAGGGACTTTTTAGTTTGAAGCCTTCTAGAAGCTCCAAATTTTCATTCTAATTTTCTTAATTTTAAATAATTACTTTTATTAGATAATCCCACATCAGGAAAAAGAAGGGAAGAAAAAAAAGAAGTTATTTTACTCATATGAAGAGAATCTTATACTCTCATTCCATTTAGTGAAGAGCTTTGTGAGAGTTTCAATATCTCATACTAACTTTATTGATTTTCTTAATTTTAAACAATTAAGAAAATCTCTATTGCCTAACTTTTAATTGATAATCTCACATCGGGAAAAGAAGAAAAAAATGAATTGTTTAGGTTGAGATAGTTTAAGATGGAAGCTTTTATCATAGTTTAGGTTGATGGTTCATCAAACTGTACGGTGAAAATATGCCTCTCTAATAGGAGATTAATGCCTCAGACCCCCACTAGGGGTGACCCCCAGGGCCCCCAGTGGGGTATGATTGGTCTATTTTTTTTTTTTTGATCCAATGACCAACCCCCACATGTGTGTGGGGGTGGTCGGGGTGCTTAGAGACTGGGGGTCTCAAGCACAGCTCCTAATAGGAAGCCAACTTATATAATTTAAAAAATAATTAATGTTATTATTATTACAATAAAAGGGCTTCAAAATTTTGAGATCGTCACCCATCTCCCCCAATTGGGTTCATCTTGTTTGCATAACTACAATTAATTATATTTTTAAAACAATATTTTGCTCTAAATGCAATTATGCAAGTTAATTCCACGATTATGATCACATGAATGACAATGTAACAAGGCACATGTCGAAGAGGAAAAGAGATTAGATGATTGACTTTGATTTATTTTTAGTTTTATTAGTAGCATTCTAAAAAAAAATTAAAGTTTAATTTACTTTGAGCGAGACTATCATTTATAATCACGTAATTTTATTATATTTAATTTTTTTAAATAAATAATATATATAATTTTATAAATAGATCATATATTTTTATTAAAGATAAATATATTAAAATCACATGAACATGACTTTAGAATGAATTTGATTTTTTTTAATATGCATATGAGTTTACAAAATAATCGAGTATGATAAATTCATCAACCTAAACTATGTCTCTCTAATTCCCGTTGACTAGATTCCATTTACCTTTTATTTTACAATCTCACATCAAAAAAGGAAAGAAAAAGTGAATTGTTTCACTTACATAAAGTGAATCTTATGCTCCCATTTATATAAGCAAAATGAGATTTTTAGTGAGAAGCCCTATGATCAATATCTCATATTCATTTTTTTGATTTCCTTAATTTTAAACAATTAAGAAAATCTCCATTGGTTAGTTTCCATCTTTTATTTTACAATCCCACATAGTTTTGATTTCAAAAATAATTTTGTGTGAGATTTTGAAACTCTCATAATATTTAACTTTAGGAGCACTTTTTCATAAATCCTTTTTAACATACTTATGTTTTATTTAGTCCACATTATTTTCTTATATTCCAATAAGTCATATGGGTGACATAGTTACCAAAATACCCCTAATAATATTTACATTTACAGTTTGAATGTTCCGTGATGTGAATGTTCATACCGTCAATGTGAATATTTATATCGTCAATGTGAATGTTCACACCGTCAATGTAAATGTTAACATATCAATATGAATATTCATATTGTCAATGTGAATGTTCACAATATCATTCACACGTCAATGAGAATATTCACATTGTAAAATATGAATGTTCACATCACCAAATTGTTAACCATTCAAAAAATATTTGTATGGGTAGAAATATCTATAAAATACTTTAAATATGAAAATTATGATTTTGTAGATCAAATGTTCAAATAATAGGACTTACTGAAATACAAAAATATCTTATGGACTAATTGGGATACAAACACTTGAAAAATGATTTTATAATAAATCTCCCTTAGCTTTAAAATAATTACAATCTCATATCGAGAAAAGAAAGAAAAAATGAGTTGTTTCATTTATATAAAGTATTACAATCCCATATCACGTATATAAAATGAATCTTATAAAGAGAGTTTTAAGGGAGAAACCTTCTAGAATGTCTAAATCCTCATTCTAAAATTATTGAATTTTCTTAATTTTAAACAATTAAGAAAATTTCCATTTGCTACCTTCTATTTACCTTTTATTTTACAATCCCAAATCAGGAAAGAAAAAAGTGAATTGTTTCATTTACATAAAGTGAATATTATGTTCCAATTTATATAAATTATTGAAAAATTTTAATTTTAAACAATTAAGAAAATCTTCGCTAGTTAGCTTCCATTTAACTTTTATTTTACAATCTCACATCAGGAAAAGAAGGAAAAAGTGAATTGCTTCATTTATATATAATGAATCTTATTCTCCCATTTATATAAGCAAAATAAGATATTTAGTGAGAAACCTTATAATCAATACTAATTTTTGTTTGTTTGTTTGTGTTAAGCACATGTATAATACTCCTAGCATATCACATATGCTGTGTGAAGGTGCAATGCAAATGTGCTATTGTAAACACGTACGGTTTCAATTTACAATCCAATGTGCATGTCCATTTAACTTTTATTTTACAATCTCACATCGGGAAAAGAAGGAAA